GCGGTCTTTAAAGAAAGAAAGGTCGGTACCTACTTCGTATGAGTTGGTACGCTCCGGCCGAAGGTCTGTTGTTGCCAGTGTGCCCGCTAAACTATAACCGGGTATATTGTTAAAAGGAAATGTAATAAGGGGAGAGAAGTTTCCCTGGATAATGGTCCTTGCATAACCCGGCTGGTTGTTGGCATAAATAGGCGCACCGTTACCCACCGATGCATAACTTGCTCTTAGCTTACCATAGGTCAGTACATTATTTTTCCAGTCTTCTGTAAAGATGTAGGAAAGGCTGGCGCTCGGGTAAAAGAAGCTGGTCTTTTGCAGGCGTGAATTCGTCAGGTATAAGGTAGAAGCCCAGTCGTTCCTGGCAGTAATTTCCAGGAATATCTTTCTATTATAATCCACGCGTATGTCCCCGTACACCCCCAGGGTGAAGGATTCATTCGTTACATTGCTGCTGACCACGGGGCCTGTGCCATTGCTTAAGTTATAAAAGTCTGCTACAACCAGCCCGTTATTCCGGTAATTAATCTCACCGCTTATAAAGTTTGACCGGAAGTATTGGATACTGTTCCCCGCCAATACATTCAGGCTGATCTTGTCAGACAAAGCTTTGGAGAAATTTGCGATAAGATCATTATTAATATTCTGGCTTGCCGTGCTGCTTTCAAAGTACCCGCCTGCACTGGTTTTATTATTGCCTGCATAAAATGCATCCCAGGGAGTCGCGGAATATTTGGGCGTTTTCATCGTCACCCTGTCGGATATAATATCTCCACCTATCCGGTTAAATATGTTCCAGTTTCCCTTCTTATAGCCAATATTCACATTGCCCAGGAGGCGGTCCACTTTATTTGCATTTTCAAAAAAAGAAGCCAGGTAATAGGGGTTGTCTGTATAGGCGCCATAGTAACCGTACCTATTATTGCCGGCGGCATCTTTGGTGCTATATGAGTTGAATGGATTGTTCAGGTCGGCAAGCTCGGCAATAGGTATGTCCCTGGGCTGTTGCAGCAGGTTGTCCCATACGCCGCCAAGCGCCTGCCCCTGTGCTTCTGTCCGCGACCCGATATTCAGGTAGTTGACATTGATGGCTGTATAAAAATTATTCTTTAACTCGGTACTTCCATTAAAACGCAGGCTGTATTTATTGTAATAGTTATTGGGCACGACGGCATCATTGCGCAATGTATTCAAGGATACAAAATAGCCCCCTTTGTCTCCGCCGCCGCCAAGAGAAACATTGTTTTCCCAGGTCTTACCCACGTTAAAAAAATCCCTGACATTATCTGGTATGGCCGCATAAGGCTTTACCCGCTGCCCGCCGTTTATATTTTGCCCCCAGGGACGGTCCTTTCCATCAAAAGGTAAACCCCAGCTAAAATTCTCCCTCCGGTCATTGGGGTTGTGCTGTGCATCTCCCTGGCCAAATTTATTCTGGAATTCGGGGTATTTCAGAATATCAGATAAGGTATACGACGTGGTATAGGATATCTCTGTTTTACTGGGTCCTTTTTTGCTTTTACCGGATTTTGTAGTGATCATGATGGCACCGTTGGCACCGGCACTCCCATAAAGTGCAGCAGCAGCAGGTCCTTTCAGTACGGAGATGCTTTCAATATCTTCCGGGTTTACATCATTGCCGCGATTGCCAAAATCCACCTGCTCCAGGCTACTCGCTCCAGACAGGCGGCTTGAGTTGTTGATCGGGATACCATCCACTACAATCAGGGCATTGTTATTGCCTCCTATTGATTTTTCTCCCCGTAACACGACTCTTGTGGAGCCACCCGGCCCGCCGGTATTACTGGTGATATTGACGCCGGCAGTCTTACCCTGTATCGCAGATAAAGCACTCACATTATTACCCGAATTCAAATCATCGGATGAGATGGTGGTGGCACTATAGCCCAGGTCGCGCTTCTCTCTTTTTAGCGCAAGTGCGGTAACGATGGTGCCTTTTAGTTCTGTTGAAGAACTCTGCATCCGTATGGTCATACCATTGGCAGGTGTGACCTCTTGTGCATTATAACTGACGGCCTGAACAACTAGTTTTTTTGCATCGGCAGGCACCTCCAGGTTGAAGTTGCCATCAAAGTCTGTTACCGTACCGATGGTTGTTCCTTTTATTGTAACCCCGGCGCTTGGGATACCCTGCCCTTTTTCGTCTAAAACCCGCCCGGAGATCTTTCCAACCTGCGCAATTGCCGCCGGAATATAGCACGCCAACAACGTAAGGAATAGTAATAGGATTCTCTTCATAAGGATTATTTAAATTGAATTTTTATCAATATAAAAAGCATAATAAATGTGTAAATACCCTATTTATTATGTGCAATCAACTATTTAAATACATTTGTCGTTACCGGTAACCACAAAAAATATTCTTAATGATTACTAATAGCTTAAAACATTCATAGTTCAATATGCAATCCTTATAATCCGGCTTGGTTAAACCTTAAATAAATTATGTCGCAAAAACCATTCCGTTTTGTAGTTTTTCAGCAATTTATAATTCAATCATCCAAGGGATTGAAAATTTTAATCGAAAATTGCATTGAAAATCAATTAATTGTGAGTGGTCAAACTTTTTTTTTAATAAAATACTTGGTTGATTCAGTTCACACCAATACCTTTGCATTCCCAAAAAAGTAGACAGTTATTATATAGTCGATGAAAATTGCCTATGGCTACTTATAAAGGTTTAAAAGAAAATAGGAAATGCGACACCTGAGTTTTAAGACACAATCGGCCAACGAGAAGATCGTAGAGCGTAAATGGTATGTAGTGGATGCTACGAATCAAACGCTGGGCCGCATGGCTACAAAAATTGCCCATACACTTCGTGGCAAGAACAAGCCTTATTACACGCCCCATTTTGATTGTGGCGATTATGTTATCGTTGTAAACAGCGGCAAGATCGTTCTTACCGGTAATAAGCTGGATGACAAGGAATATATGACTTTCAGTGGTTATCCTGGTGGTCAGAAGACCGAGACTGCCCGTAGCATGGTAGCCCGTCGTCCAAACAAAGTGGTAGAAGTTGCCGTAAAAGGTATGCTGCCTAAAAACCGTCTTGGCCGTGCGATGTACAAGAAATTGTTCGTTTACGAAGGTGCAGAGCATCCGCATACCGCACAACAGCCAACTGCTTTGGCATAAGGCTTACACAACTATTAATTAAACTTAGAAAATCTTCTCAATAATATCATGGAGAAACAAAAAAACGCCGTAGGTCGCCGTAAGGAAGCGGTAGCCCGTGTGTACCTGAGTAAGGGCACTGGTAATATCACGGTGAATGGCAAGGAGTACAAGAACTACTTCCCGCTTATGTACCTGCAAAACCAGGTTGAGCTGCCACTGAAAACCATCGAAGTAACTGAAGCTTTTGATTTGGTGATCAATGTACAAGGTGGAGGTCCAAAAGGACAAGCTGAAGCAATCAAGATGGGTATCGCCCGCGTTCTTTGCGAAGTGAATCCAGAATATCGCCCGGCACTGAAGAAGGAAGGCCTGATGACGCGTGACTCACGTATGGTTGAGCGCAAGAAA